GTGTTAGTGATGAACCTGAATCGATATTCTCCAGAGTCGCTGATCTTGAGTTCTTTGACTCTCAGTTTGTTCCCCACATACTCCACACGACCAGCAAAATCCTGGTCCTCACGCAGATCCTTGAATCCCCCAGGCTGAACGTAATGCCAGAATGTATTATATACAGTAGAACCAGAGGGATGTGAGTATGTGCAGGAAATGTCTACTGTTGAGCCCACCAAAGCACAGACTCTTCTAGAGGTGTAAGTCACATCCCAGCAGCCACTCTTAGAAATGCCTGAAAGAGACACAGATTAACATGCAAAACTCACAGTTTAAATGTATCTGTTTAAATATACACATGTATGAACAAACAGCACCACACTGTGTGTATTATGTGAAACTCACACTCAGAAGAGGAGGGATGTTCATGATGTGGATAAAGAGAACAGGAAAAGCTGCCAGCATCTCTGCTGACTGACACAAACATGTTGGTGGACTTTGTATATATTAAATACTGTCTATTCTTCATCCAGTAATAGTAAACCCCAGAGGTCAAATCACAGGAAGAATCACAGATCAGTTCTACTGTCTCATCTCTCAGGTCTGTAGACACAGTATTCATCCTCACCTGCAAGACTGAATAGAGTAAAAATTAAGAAAACTTCATCACATATCAAATGAAAACAGCTGAAGTGACCAGAATCTCGACTCAGTTTCACCTGTGACTGTTAGACTGACGGCCGCTGAGCTGAGATGTTTAACTCCATCCTCCATGATGAACATGAGCTGATATTCTCCAGAGTCTCTCTCTCTCACGTCTGATATTGTGAATGTTGAATGGCTGCTTGAGATCTGATGTTTCACCCGTCCTGAGTAGTCTGAGTCTAAAGTCAAATCTTCAGGTTCATTGTTTTTTCTCCAGTTTGTACTTTGTTTCTCACTGAACCAGAACACATTTGTGTTGTTGATTTTGAAGTAAATGCACCTCAGTGTCACTCCTGACCCCTTCACAGCACAAATACTCTGTTGACTACAGGTCACAGAGAGCTGGTCCAATGTTATAGAGCCTAAAGAAGAAAACATGGTGTTATTGAGACAAAGTATTCAAACAGAGGAGAGATTCACAATCCAGTGTTCACACTAAAGAATGCAAATAGTTCTCAAACGTCTCCTCACCAATCTGCTGTCCACACCCACCCAAATCACAGCACTCAGTTTAGTAAATATTACATTTGTCTGTACACCCACTCCTTTTTATTTTAAGAAGCATAAATGGAAAATCCTCCCTCTAAACGAGAGAACAGTGTGGCAAGTTAAATTATACTAATCAGTGTAAAATGAAAATAAAAGTAACTCATTCAGCTATATTGCATTTCACAGTGTGGCCCTTTACAGCTGACAATCTAAATATTAAGCATGTCAGTGTATATCCTTGAATAAATCTGTAAATAAATATCATAATGCATTTGTAGTAAAGAAATCATGTCATAATAAAATTCACTTACAAACTTAGACCTAGATGTTACAATCTTCCTTCATTACTTTGGACAACAACAAAACTATAATCCAATAACACACAGTAATGCTCAAACCTGGAATGAGCAGCAGCAGGATCAGCGGTGAGAGTCTGGAGTTCATAAACTTCACTTTGTGTAAATTCACATAAACTATGAAAGACACAGAGCTGCTCGTCCTGAAGAAAGACAAAAGACACTCACTGAGCTTCATTCTGACACACTTGACACTTAATTCATCTGTTGTTATAGTTCATGAAAAAAAAATCAGGGTTACATTTTATGTCCTTGTTACAGTGTAATTGTTTAAGTAATGAGGAATATTAATTAACAACATGTACTGACTATAGGGTACGAGTTAGGGATTGCTTTAGGGTTATTGCATGTAATTATGCATAATTTACTGTTATTACTAGTGTACTAACGTGTAACAATGACACTGTAAAATAAAGTCTTACTAAAATCAGGACTACAATAATTTCAGAGAGATGCTTAAAACTACATTTTAATGTAAAGCTTAATTTAAGTGAAAAGATTAGATATACGTACATTATATGCTGTTGTTTTACAAGTTCTCTGATGTTAGTTGCCGTTTCTACTGCCGAAGACACATTGACACTTCTGGTCTTATTTCCGTCCTTTTGTCTAAAAGAAACTCTTGAAAATGAAGTCACTTATTGTCTTTAGTCTAAATAAAGCCGGGTGTTCATGTGTGCTGTACACTCTTCAAAATAATGGTTCCAAAATGGGGTTTTCGCAGCAATTCCACAGAAGAACCAGTTCTTAACAACAAGAAACAGTTCTTAAAAGAAACATTTTAATAATATAAATCAACTTTTTTTCACTATGAAGAACCTTTTGTTCAATGGAAAGATTGCATGGATGCTAAGAACCATAAATGCCTATAAAGAACCTTCATTTTTAAGTGTAGTTATTGGAAAAACTTTGATTTCCCATAAATTACCAACACTGTGTTTATTTGTATATTCTTCTTAAACTTTAATGACAGAATCATAAGCTGAAAATAATAATATATATGTAAATGAATGTACTTCTTTTAACTGCATCAGAAGACTCCCCCCCACCCCACCATTTTTTGAACTGAAGGCACAGGAATATGGGTCTTATATTTTAGTAGCATAATGCACTAAGACTAAAAAATCAACAGGGGTACGATTTAAAGACTGCGCTTGGTAAGGTTTCAGCACACAGCCTTTGAAGTACAAATCACTTACTCACATCCAGCTAGAGCTGCTGCCAAAGAGACACACACCAGGATGAGAATCAGGCAAAAAACTGCTGAATTGACCAGAATCTCGACTCAGTTTCACCTGTGACTGTTAGACTGACGGCCGCTGAGCTGAGATGTTTAACTCCATCCTCCATGAACATGAGCTGATATTCTCCAGAGTCTCTTTCTCTCACGTCTGATATTGTGAGTTCTGATTCGTATTTACCAAAGATCTGCTTCACCCGTCCTGAGTAGTCTGAGTCTAAAGTCAAATCTTCAGGTTCATTGTTTTTTCTCCTGTTTGTACTTTATTTCACGATGATCCAGAACACTGTTTTTTATGTTGATGTTGGATTAATTAAGAGCACCTCAGTGTCACTTGGGGGACCCCTTCATAGCACAAATACACTTTTGATTACAGATCACATTCAAGAGGTCCAGTGTCAGGGAGCCTCAGCAAGAAAACAAGTCTTCATGTTCTTCAGTTCACAAATGCATATAGTCTTTGAGTATAACGAAGGTAATCAGATTTAGCTTGCTATCTAAACTCTTGAGAGACTAGAAAAGAAGAAATGAAAATACAGTAGTGATCAATACATGGAAGAACTGTCACAATAGTGAGGCAATCAGCGGTTTATATACTCTTGCATAATAATCGACAGAATTAGATGAACTAGCTCCTCCCAAACCTTTTTTTTTTTTTTTTAGAATACCATTCTGAACTATGTTGGAAAATTTGGAAAAATATGAATTAATTTGGTAAAATTTCTAGTGTTCAACAATGCAAATGTATTTTAAATATTATGTAGTATTTTTTCACTGACACTGATTAACTGTCATATACAAATGTAAAAGATTTAGTTAAGCCACAAAGTTTGTAGTTACACAAGTCTTAACTAGTGTATATACAAGTGCAATCCAATGACATTGCATATACTACAAGCATAAACAAGTAACTATCTTACATGGAAATGTATAGAAATGTACATTTGAATAATATTGGCGAACAACAAAACTGTACTGGTTTTGTACTGTACTGGTCATCTACTGGTACACAATACTCTTACCTGGAAAGTGCAGCAGTATGATCAGTAAAGGTCTGAAGTCCATGTTCTCTCTGCATAAATTCAGGTATACAACACAAGACACAAAACAAAACAGTAGCAGGGTGATGTAAAGAAACAAATTAAGAAACTAATTTTATTTCCTTCCTTTTTCTACTAAATATGATGTGGTGGAAAAAACACCCTCCTCCACATCTCACTGGTTTACTCACTAGTTTTTGGCTATAAACAATACATGGCACACCAGTTAATAAAATGTTCCCTATTTCACAACCTCTAACTGGTGATAATACTGATTTAGAGGCTGCGATCACTCGTCAAGGCCGTTACGTGTGTCTCATTTCCCGTCATTGCTGTTTAAACCAAGGGGTCCAAGTTTGCGTGTTCAGAAAGAATTGACTGCGAGTTTACTTTGAGAACTTCCTCCATTCAATCAACAACCGATAGATAGAACCAAGTCCCCGTCAGACATTTATTATATTATTTTCTGATAAGCTGTATAAAAGAGTTGTTGAAGTTGAAGGCCATGGCAGACAATGTGATGATCTTAATTCCTTCTTTTTTTTTCAATTCCACAGAAGAACCAGTTCTTAAAAACAAGAAACAGCTCTTAAAAGAAACATTTTAATAATCTAAATAAACTTTTTTTCACTATGAAGAACATTTTATTCAATGGAAAGATTGCATGGATGCTAAAGGTTCTTCATGGAACCATAAATGCCAATAAAGAACCTTCATTTTTAAGTGTAGTTATTGGGAAAATTTGATTTCCCATAAATTAACAACACTGTGTTCATTTGTATATTCTTCTTAAACGTTAATGACAGAATCATAAGATGAAAATAATAATACACAGGTGCATCTCAATAAATTAGAATGTCGAGTTTGTTCCCCACATACTCCACACGACCAGCAAACTGATGCTCCTCACGCAGATCCTTAAAGTCACCAGGCCGAACGTAATGCCAGAATGTTTTATTTACAGTATAACCAGAGGGATGTGAGTATGTGCAGGAAATGTCTACTGTTGAGCCCACCAAATCACAGACTCTTCTAGAGGTGTAAGTCACATCCCAGCAGCCACTCTTAGAAATGCCTGAAAGAGACACAGATGCAAAATTCACACTTACTTTAAATCCATGCTTAAACATACAGTTGTGGTCAAACTTTTACATACTTTGCAGTATCTCCAAAATGTTAATTATTTTACCAAAATAAGAGGGATCATACAAAATGCATGTTATTTTTTATTTAATACTGACTTGAATAAGATATTTCACTCAAAAGATGTTTACATATAGTCCACAAGAGAAAATCATAGTTGAATTTATAAAAATGACCCCATTCAAAAGTTTACATATGCTTGATTGTTAATACTGTGTTGTTACCTGGATGATCCACCGCTGTTTTTTTTCCCTTCTTTTTCTGAAGAACAGCGGGCTGTTTAACTGTTCAGGATAAACAATGGTCACATGAACAACTATCACAAAAAAACAACAACAACAAAAAAACTGTGGATCATCCAGGTAACAACACTAATAAATTCAACTAGAATTTTCTCTTGTGGACTATATGTAAGCATCTTTTATTAGAAATATCTTATTCAGGTCAGTCCTAAATAAAAATTAACATGCATTTTGTATGATCCCTCTTATTTTGGTAAAATAATTAACATTTTGCAGATACTCCAAAGTGTATGTAAAAGTTTGACCGCAACTGTACACAAGTATGAACAAACAATATCACATACTATTCCATTTATAGCTACAGTATATAAAACATGGTTTTGACACATTTGGCACTCACACACAGAAGAGGAGTGATGTTCAAGCTTTGGGCCAACAGAACAGAAAAAGCTGCCAGCATCTCTGCTGACTGACACAGATATTTTGGGGGACTTTGTATTTCTGAAATACTGTCCATTCTTCATCCAGTAATAGTGAACTCCAGAGGTCAAATCACAGGAAGAATCACAGATCACTTCTACTGTCTCATCTCTCAGGTCTGTAAATGCAGGATTCATCCTCACCTGCAGGACTGAATAGAGTAAAGATTAAGAAAACGTCATCACATGTCAAATGAAAACAGCTGAAGTGACCAGAATCTCAACTCAGTTTCACCTGTGACTGTTAGACTGACGGCCGCTGAGCTGAGATGTTTAACTCCATCCTCCATGATGAACATGAGCAGATATTCTCCAGAGTCTCTTTCTCTCACGTCTGATATTGTGAGTTCTGCTTCGTATTTACCAATGATCTGCTTCACCCGTCCTGAGTAATCTGAGTCTAAAGTCAAATCTTCAGGTTCTTTGTTTTTTCTCCAGTTTGTACTGTGATTCTCGCTAAACCAGAACACAGTGTTGATTTTGTTGCTGGAGTAAGAGCACCTCAGTGTCACTTCTGTCCCCTTCACAGCACAAATACTCTGTTGACTAAAGGTAACAGTGAGGTGGTCTAATGTTACAAAGCCTGAACAAGAAAATATTACAATGTTACAATGCCTGCTCTCTGCCACTCAACCTGTCACGAATCCGGTCTATGAACTTCAATTCACTCACCACCAGGGGTCACCCTTCCATTACATTGACTCTCGCACTACACTGTTGCATGTCATCCCGGACTACATATCCCATCATCCATTGCACTGATTGCACACAGCACTGATTGCACACAGCTGTAACCAATCACACATTCACTATATAACACTCACTCTGATCCCTTTCAAACTGGCGAGTATTGCATAGCGTTTATCACTCTCATAGCGATAGCTACTCTACGGAGCCTGTCTAGTTTTTCATAGCCTTATCTTAGTCTTGCCTTGTCTGTTTTCTCGTGTTCTGATCATTGCCTGTGTACTCTGGATTACCTCTCTCGTCTTGCCCTGTTCGGATACTGTTTGCCCCTGCCTGGACCTTTGCCTTGTACCTGGATTTATCTCTCTAGTCTCGCCCTGTTGATTCTGTTCGCCGATCGTAGACCCACGCTAGCCCTAGGAATATTCTTGTGTCTTGCCCTCTATATACCTGTTGCCATTGTCTGACCCTTGCCTGTTTCTGACCATGTCGGTTAATAAAGCTTCGCACTTGGATCTGCACGTCTCACGTCTCAGTCACTCCATGACAGAATACTCGGCCACACAAGGATCCAGCGGCTTTTCCAAAGAACATTGGCCAGGTATGAACACAGCGATTCTGCTACTAGCTCTCAAGCAGTGCACACGATCACTTGAGGGTTACATTGCGGAATATTTGGCTTTGGCTAATGGCTCAGAATTACCGGACAGTATGTTAATTGACTTCTTCTGTGATGGCCTTACCCAGCCTGTAAAATCACGAGTGATTCATGAGGGTCCTCGTTCGTCTCTAAGGGATTTTATGGACTATGCTCTATTATCTGTTGGTTCAGCGTTCCCTGTGGGTATCGCGGAGGAACGCAACCCTGCACTCACTCGTGTTATGGCGGCCACACTAGAGCACGCTCACAAAATGGCGGCGACAGCGGATGAACCAAGACAAGTCACAGTTGTTCTTCATGAGTCAAGTCAAGTCACAGTTGATATTCATGAACCAAGACAAGTCACAGTTGTTCTTCATGAGTCAAGTCAAGTCACAGTTGATATTCATGAACCAAGACAAGTCACAGTTGTTCTTCATGAGTCAAGTCAAGTCACAGTTGATATTCATGAACCAAGACAAGTCACAGTTGTTCTTCATGAGTCAAGTCAAGTCACAGTTGATCGTCATGAATCAAGTGAAATCACAGTTGATCGTCATGAGGCACGTCAAGTCACAGCTGATCTTCCAGAGTCACGTCACGACACAGCTGATCATCCTGAGTCTTGTCAGGAAACAGCTGATCGTCAGGAATCTTGTCATGTCCTGTCTGTTACACCCAGTCTTTCGGTATCCTAGTCTGGTATCTAGTGTGAGGGATACACCACTGGTGTCTGCACGCACAGCTGGTATCCCCAAACCCACTCACTCTAACCCTTCTGTTCCTGAACTAATTCCCCTGTCTGAAGTGTTTCCCCTGATGGGGATCGCTTTTTGGTGTGTTTGGGCTGCATACACCACCACAGAACTCCCAGAGGCGGCAGCGCCCACTATTAGGTCTCCAGAGCTGGCGGCTGAAGCTGCAGAATCTCCTGAGGTAGTGGTGCTCGCTGCTGTGTTCCCCGAAGCGATGGCGCCCACTGCAGTTTCTCCAGAGGTGGCGGTGCATGCTGCAGAACCTCCCGAAGTGGCGGTGCTCGCTTCAGCTCCTTGCGTGGTGGTGGCGCCCAGAAACGCACTTTCAACCTGTCATGTCAAGGTCGAAGGAACCTTTGCCAAACTCTCCCTGTATCCTGAGGGCACTACTGTAGAACCTCCAGAGGTGGCGGCACCCGCTGCAGAACCTCCAGAGGTGTCAGTAGTACCCACCTGTGAACTTCCTGTTTGTCCTGTCACGGCCATGGAGGCCGTTTGTGAGCGTTCTGCCTGTCCTGTCACGGCTAAGGACGCCGTCTGTGAGCTCTTTGCCTGTCCTGTCATGGGCGCCCACTATTAGGTCTCCAGAGTTGGCGGCTGAAGCTGCAGAATCTCCTGAGGTAGTGGTGCTCGCTGCTGTGTTCCCCGAAGCGATGGCGCCTGCTGCAGTTTCTCCAGAGGTAGCGGCGCATGCTGCAGAACCTCCCGAAGCGGCGGTGCTCGCTTCAGCTCCTTGCGTGGAGGTGGTGCCCAGAAACGCACTTTCTACCTGTCATGTCAAAGTCGAAGAAACCTTTGCCAAACTCTCCCTGTATCCTGAGGGCACTACTGTAGAACTTCCAGAGGTGGCAGCACCCGCTGCAGAACCTCCAGAGGTGTCAGTAGGTACCCACCTGTGAACTCTCTGCCCGTCCTGTCACGGCTATGGAGGCTGTTTGTGAATTCTCGTCCTGCCCTGTCATGGCTATGGAGGCTGTCTGTGAACCCTCTGCCCGTCCTGTCACCGCTATAGAGGCCGTTTGCGAACTCCTTGCTCGTTCTGTCACGGCTATAAAGGCCGTCTGCAAACTCCCTGCTCGTCCTGTCATGGCTATGGAGGCCGTCGGGGAATCCTCATCCTGTCCTGTCATGGTTATGGAGGCCGTTTGTGAATTCTTTGCTTGCTTTGTTTCGGCCCAGGAGGTCGTTTGTGAACTGTTGTCCTGTCCCGACCCAGCCAAGGAGGCTGCCTCTGAACGCTCAGCCTTGTCTATCAACCCCAATGTTCTGTCTGTGTTGTCTGTCTCTGCTCTCTCGTTGTTACAGTCTCCGCCATGGTCTCCTGGTCGGGGTGGTTCACCGGGGGGGGTTCCGGTTCCCTCTGCTCCGCCGTGGTGGTCTTCTGCTCCGTCGTGGTGGTCCTCTGCTCCGCCGTGGTGGTCCTCT